TGTGTGTGTGTGTGTGTGTGTGTGTGTGTGTGTGTGTGTGTGTGTGTACCGTCAGGGGGTTGTGGCGGAGCGGCGGCAGGGCGACCGGAGACGTCGTCTGAGAGCCGCTGTGTCCGGGAGAGCAGACCGGCTCGCCTGGTTTGCCTGAAGGACACAGAGAGAGGAGAGTCTGAGGAACGTCAAGGAGAACGTTCCTGATCTCTGCTGAAGACGCGTCGGTGGTTTCACGTTCCGTGCAGAATCTGAAGCTCTGGCTTGGATCAGGACAGAAAGCTCACATCACCATGAATTTTTACTCTGAAACTCACGAAATACACAAAAACGGGAACAGAAACCCTTGCGTTGTTTATTTTGTACGACTGTTGGAACGTTCCATTAGCTCTAAAACATGAATATGATTATTATAAATAAGAAGCGCTCTTCCTGTTCTCGTCTTTAACGGGACGTCCCGCCCTCAAAGTGAAGAAAATCTGTCTCCAACACATTCTGCGTCTCGTTTTGTCCGCTCGGTGAAACTCGCGTCACGGAGGTCAGGCTGAAGGTTTTCTGTTTGCGGTGGGTGTTTCTGTGCGTTTCGTCTCGTGTGTCGACAGATGTTGGATCGAGGCGTGAAGAACGTTGCAGCAGGACGGTTCTGTGACGGCTTCCTGTCAGCGCGGCGGGAGCTACGTTCTCAACATACCCAACTAGGTCGATAAAGTGGACAAATCCATAAATACGTCGCTTCGCCGTGCAAGTCGCTTCGATTACGTTTCACCACTGACAACCTGGAAACGTGGGCCGGTGTTGTGCCAAAAATCGATTGGCTGCCAAACAGCGGCCACGTGAGGATTTTAACAAGAATTTAACAAGATTAACACTTAAAAACAATAATTTGTTTGCTCGACATTATAGTAAAGGTGTGTCTCTAACTTTTGCTTAATAAATGCACTTCAATGGTCAAATCAGCTGCATTTCATTGGAGCGATGCAGCTGATTTGACGGTGGCTCCAGGTGAGCTGGACCAAGGTGGCAGGCTATGGCAAGCTGATTGTGTCAATAATAGCCACTTTTGCTTATTACATGTCACAACGGCATGCCATACTGCTCGAGTGCCATCTAGTGGCTGTAAATGGTAGTGTTCAATATTTTCGGTCAGAATAAATTAAATTGTCATATCAGCCAAAAATTGGTTTAAATATGGGACAAATCCATAAAAACGTCTCTTCGGTGTCGCAGGGTGTGTGAATTACACAAAGCTACGACTTCTAGGCTGAAAAATACGGGAGCTAACAGCGAGTTTGAAGAACACGACTGTAAAGTTGAATCTGAGCTGATTTTTAGGCGAAAACCTCAAACAGGAAACGTTTTTAAATGATAAAGCGGCAGCTGAGATTAGAGCTCGTTAAAACGTTTTCTTTTAAACGGTTTGCTCTGCTCGTCTACGTTCGTTAGCGCCGCGTGGAAAAGAAGACGCTCGTCCCTGATCTACGAGGAGCATCGTACACGGCTCCCACGAGACGGAGCACGAGGTCACCTCAGGACCAGCTTCAAACGGGTCCACGAATCTGCGGCCGCCGGCACGCTGACGCACACGAGACAACATTTTCTCACAGCGAAGCGGCGATACGACACGAAAACACCCGACCCCCCTGAAAGAACCAGGACCAGCACCTGACGAAGGAAACCGGAAGAGAACCCTGAAGCTGACTGAACCGCAACAAGACACCAAAAATAACGTTTTTATTCTTAAAACCTGGCCAGGTCAAGATGATCGACATCAATCGATGCAAATAAATAAAACGAGGATATGAACGTTCCTGGAACACCAGAGATGGTTCTCTGGGTTCTCTGTGGAGAGGCTGGTTCTAAACCCTCAGAGGGACAGAAGGAGTTTAAAATGCACAAACCTTCAGAAACAAAAGAACCCGACACGGACCTCGGATCAGATTTATTTAGGTCGGTTCTGGACGGACAGAAGCAGACGGTACAGAAGAGCTTTGGACTGAACTGGTTCTGCAGATTGACTCAGTTTAAGGAGGATCAAGGTTTTAAATTAGCCTGATAATCTCCACCACCACCACCACCACCACCACCACCACCTAGATAGCGTGCAGAGGTCAAAGGTCACAGCAGAGCTGGGAGGCCAGGAGCTGCTGATAACCACAAACTTTGACCAACTTTCCCTCTGGAAGTCTCATCGGGTTCAGCTGCAACATTTCAAAATAAGAGCGTGACAATGTAAACTTGATTCAGCCAAAGAAAATGTGAACCTGTGGAAGCCGACGAGTTGTTTCAGACGTCAAGCTGCTGCTTGGACTCACGTTCACACATCTTCATTTCTGCTAAAAGCTAAAATTATCAGCAGCTCAGTGAAAACCTGCAATTAGCTAAACTTAACTGTTAAATGTAGCAAAACTGGATTGAAAAGCTAAAATTACCAATAACTTAAATAAAAAATAGCTAAATATTTGCTGAAAGCTAAATATAAAACATTTTAATGTAGTTAAAACCATTTTAAATCAGCTTAAAGAAAAAGCAGAAGAGCCAAAGGCTAGTATTCTGCTTCTTTTAGCTCTTAGCTCGTGTCTGCTTCCTTTAGCTCTTAGCTCGTGTC